ATTAGGGTTTGTATTTGACGATGTGTCGAATACATATGGAAATATATAAAGGGTTATGTTCCCAATTCATATGTGATTTTCTCATTCTTTGTGTCATCCCATCAACACAAGAATACAAGAGAAGATATATGAAGAGGAAGATCCATAAACCCACAATCAGGAATTAAGAAGGATGTTTGAAGTAACCAAATTGAAAATTCACATATCAGGATTCAAGATTCATTATTCAAGTCAGAAATCAATGGATTAAGGTATGTTCCGCGTTAATTCAGTTTCTTAATGATTTGACATGAAGATCTTGGCAAGTTTATAAAGTTAAAGTTTCAACAATGACTTCATGCTAATGTTTCAAACCAAATCAAAACATGAGGATACAATGAAAAATCACCTTGTATACGTGTGTTTTGTTCCTTTTGATAATGCTCTTGGATCGCGGTCTAAGATCTTCAAATATCAGCATATTACCAGCTGTCTATATGTGGTACACAGTGCTCGCTAATGCAACTCTCTTTGCTTACTTTGCCAAGTAGTCTCGTGTCCTTCCTCTTCATCCATTTCAAGATGTTAGCGGTTGTAGTCATGGTTCTTGTGATTTCCAACCAAGCGTTGAACTCATAACACATTGAAAAAATAATAAGTGTTGGACAGATTCAACTGAAGTTCGACGGAATACACGAGTTGTCGATGTCCATGTATTGTAGACGGTCTTTAATGAGAAGTTTGCCTTTTATACTAAGCCAAAGGATGAAAGAATGTTTCGGAGTTATACACGAGCGACCTTTGCCCATCGCATAGTAGCCCTCTTTGGATGGAAATAGTCATAAGCCTTGGCAATGCTTATGCTGTCTTCGTGAATCCAATTTAAGATTTTTAGGATGGCTACCTGTGATGTTCCTTTAGTTTGCTTCAACAGATCTGCAATAGAAATTAGTTTCTTGATTAATGGTGAATCATCCTTTTTAGATGAGTATTCCCATATAGTTGTGATCCTCAAATACACGTGAATGATCCACCAAACCCAAAGTGCATCTTTTTTTTAGAATATTCCAAAGAGATTTGGCTATTGTGCATTATTCCAGCAATTGATATCTCAAAATCCAAACCCTCCTTCTATTTTGGGAAGACAAACATCAACATTTCCATAACAATGGTGCTCCTTCGCCACCTCTACCCTCCAATAGAATTGGTGCATAACAGCGAGGACAGCTAACAACACACTGAACTTAGGATACAAAAAAGTTATTGAAAGCAAAAACATGAGAAAGAAATTGAGCTGTGAACTTGCTCTTAAATATGTGAAGTTGACCGGCTGCCAGAGGTGGGGTTGATGCTGGAGGTACGGATGTTGCTGGACCTGAGTAGCTGCCGGAGGTTTGTGATTTGGGGGGAAGGGTTTGGTTTAAGTTGATTTGAGAGAGAGAGAGAGAGAGAGTGTGTGTGTGTGTGTGTGTGTGATGTTGGGTTTTCTAATTTCGGATTTTTAAGATTTTTTTTTTTTGGTAATTGATGCCACATCACTTTGTCAACCTATTTTGTCAAGTAACTTTGTACACGTAACGCGGTTGAAGAAAATTTGATTGGAGATCAAAGTGCTTTGTTAGGAAATGTACGACCAGTAAAAGTCACAATCTTTTCACCCATTAACAAACCTATTCCAAACTTTTTATTTTCTTGAAAATAGGGATCCCATCCCATCATGTTCTCCCAAAAGCCAAACAACATTAAGCCCTCGTTTGACACACATTTTCTTTTCATTCTCTTTCTCATTTTTTTCTTTTTCTTCATTTCAACCACACATTTTATCAATAAAATAATATTACACATAAATCCAAAAATTCTCATTACATTTTAACCACATATTCTTTCATCAATCACTATTCCAGAATTTATTTTTCTCCAAAATGGGTGTCAAACACATCCTTAAGTCTCTGTTTGGTTTTACTAAAAATCAAATATTGAGTAGATTTCAATAAAAGTTTATTGGAGGATATTTAAAAAAAAAAATTGATAAAAATTGTTAGTCTAATACATATCTAATTAAAATTAATTATTGATTTTAACTTAAATTTTTATTAACTATTTACCTAAACCGCAGCACTCAGCCTTTGACCTTCTACATATATTAACGTCATTTTAATAATTACAAATTAGACCAAGCGAAATTTGTGAATTATTCTAAACTTTCACATATGAAGAGGAGGCCATGGGAATTGCATGGCCCAGTTCCTGAACGGCAATTTAGGCTGAAAGAATTCGTCACTTCTTGGAGTGACACTTCGCAGTGGTTTTAGGTTGCTTCATGTAGCAGTACTTATTCAAAATGTCAGGACCAGGTTGGCCCAAAATCACAATCTATATACATATATCTGTATCTATATGTTTGTATACTGTCTGATTTCGTTTTCGCAAGAGTTCTGTGCAATTTTATGGGTTCTAATATATGGGTTTTTTACCCAACCCTATAAAAACAGAGAAAGTATGTAGGGTTTTTCTTGATGATTTTACATGCTGTTTGCACTTGGGTTCTTATTTGCTAAATACTACGTGTGTTGTTGGTAATGTGGGTGAGGAGTTGTTGGGGGATTATGAATTGTATTGATTAGACTGAAATTAGCCGAGAAAGTGCTCTTTGTGGAAAATTGAATGGTTAATTGTTTTATTGGGGGATTCTTGAATTTGTAGCGTGTCCTCTGCGTCATCTGTATGCTTGCTGAGTTAGATAACCACATTCTTGAAATAGCCTGGAAAATGAATGTTTAGATGAATTCTTTTGAAAAGAAAAAAAGTATTTAAATAACTTCATTCCTCTTCTGTAGCAATCTTTATTTTCTATTAGAAGGCAATGTCATTTTACGCACTCAAAATGAAAAGAACAGAGCTAAGGGCCCATTTGACAGGCTTTTGCGGCTTGTATAAAAGCTTCCAGAGGAAGCTACAACGTTTCTAGCAAAATAAAGCACTTTCAGAAAATTATTCAAAAGTGTTGAGAAGTAGCTTTTGCCTTTTCAAAAGTCCCGATATTCAGTTAAGTCAAGAGGATGATGTCCATTTTGAAACTTTTAGGTTCTCTATCGCTTGAATGCTTAAAACACACTAGTTTTATAAGATCATGGCAATTAATTAATTCACTGAATCAGCAAATGTGATTAAGGATGTGTTTGATAGATATTATCGAGGAAAGAATATATTTTAAATAGTGATATGATGGAAAATGTGTGGTTAAAAAGTAAAGAAAATTTATTGATGTGTTATTTTATTGAGAAACGTGTGGTTGAAAATGAGTTTTAAAAAAAGTATTTTGAAAGAATGTGTACCAAACATGGGCTAATATACCCGGGCAAATGTTACATTCGATCCATATAAATCAGAAAGTTCTCAGTTTGATTTTGTTTTGAGTGGAAAGCAGGAATGAAATAAAGTAACTGCTGAAGCAATATTGAAAAACAACTTGAGAGAAGGTGTCTCTGCTGCCCACCTTCTCTAGTGGTTGTATTAGGGAAGTTTAGGTTTATACTTTGGGATGATTTCGCTTGGCCCCTAATGTGTCATATTCTACACGTTAGGTAAAATTATATTGCATGACTGCCTTAAGAAATTTTGGCAACCTCAAGTGATCTAAATTGTCATTTTGGCCAGTTTAGTGGTGATTTGATAACCTTTGCCTTTCATGAAAGCATTTGGTGTACACGTCTTCTTTACCACGAAGCCTTTGCTGCATTCATTTTGGAATTCTTTATATGATCTCAAGAATGTTTATCTTGTTTCTGGTTTTTCTTACACACACAGACATACATATATAGAAGAGAGAGATAGAAAGGTGTATCTACAATCTAGTTACCTGAAGATTGGAACTAGTTTTATTTTGAATCCTGTTGACATTTTTGGATATCTTCGCCTTGGACACACTACGGAAATATTAAAAAATAAATAAAAATCCCTTTGTCAAACTCAGTAATGAACATTTTGTCGTTTGTCAGCACGGCCATGATAGAAAGAATACCCTTTGCGGGAATAGGCTATTCATTGAGAGTTGATATGTTACTCTGCTCATATTAAACAATGCTTTGAAGGTCGACAAGTATTCAAAGTATCTGTTTCCCAAAAATTTGATGTTGCTGATCTTTAATTCTAACATTATTTATCTGAAATGTCAATATCGATTTAATAATGTAACGAAGTGATTGTCTTAAGATTTATGATACCAATGGTGTTCGACTGTCATTTCTTTTCAGATGAAGAAATGGAAAACCCAGGACCACAATCATGGCAAGACAAAATTTCTGCTTTTTGGACCATTATTTGGAAAGGGTATAAAAGCAAGTCAATCTCACATTGGATACTTTTAGCTCTAAGTAGTGTGGCAATGCTTGTAGCGTTCCCTGCTTCTTCCCTCTTATCACGCATTTATTTTGCCAATGGGGGAACAAGCAAATGGATAATATCTTGGGTGGCAGCAGCCGGGTGGCCTATTCCTGCATTGGTTCTAATTCCTGCATACTTCTTCTTAGGTGTCTTCCCCACTCCTCTGGACTTCAAACTCGCTGCATCTTATTCTGTCTTGGGTTTCTTGAGTGCCGCTGACAACCTCATGTATGCATATGCATACGCTTATCTGCCACCATCAACTGCTTCTCTTTTGGGATCGACATCCCTGATATTTTCTGCACTATTTGGATATCTTCTCGTCAAGAACAAAATAAACGCTTCGACTATTAATTCCATTGTAATCATTACTGCTGCTATGGCAATCATTGCACTGGATTCGGATTCAGATAGATATGCAAGTATAACGGACCGTCAATACGCCCTCGGTTTTGTATGGGACATACTGGCATCTGCACTTCACGGTCTTATTTTCGCTCTATCTGAGTTAGTTTTCGACAAGTTAGTGGGACGAAGATCGTTCCTTGTAGTTCTTGAGCAGCAAGTAATGGTTTCACTATTTGCCTTCACATTTACTACAATTGGCCTCATTGTGAATAATGACTTTCACGGGATGGCATCTGAAGCAAGAACGTTCAAAGGTGGTCGAAGTTCTTACCTATCTGTCCTCGTTTGGGGCGTTGTTACTTTCCAGTTGGGTATTCTAGGTGGCACCGCAGTTCTCTTCCTTGCATCCACCGTGCTAGCCGGCGTACTTAATGCAATAAGAGTACCCCTTACTGGTATTGCAGCTGTCGTGTTGTTGAATGATCCGATGAGCGGTTTCAAGATTCTGTCTCTGATTATAACCTTCTGGGGATTTGCTTGCTACATATATGGAAATTATCCTAGAAGTAAAGATTCCTCGTGATTGTTGTCTCAGTATAAAGTTTATTGTACCACTCAGATCATTCATTTCTACGTTTTAAAACTCTTTATCACGTTTGAAGGGCACTATAAACTTAAATTGCCTGAAGGTTGAACACTAACTTACCACCAAAGTAATTAGTAGAAGACTGGTGCAATTTTTCCATTTTCCTCTTAGTTTGGCGTTGTAAAACTGAGCTGATAGCTGCTTAGAGAGTTAAAAACGATCAAGTCTACCTCGAAATAATTGAGCCCCATAATAAGATTAGATGCTAACAAGTGAACAAGATAAAATTTTCAGTAAAACTACTCAATCATAATTGAATGTCCGCTGGAGAAAAGAGCTCACCAGCCAGGCTCAATGTTGAAATGAGAGAATAAACACTAGAAGGTATAAATAAGTTCTACCACAAATCAAGTTTTCCCCAGGAGGGAATCGACAGCACCATTGTTCTATATCTGTATCATCATCCAGATAAATACTTTTTAATATGGCTTTAAGACTACGTCTAAGTAAAAGTTTTAGGAGCCGGTTTCTATAATAAACGGGAAAGTAATTAGTTCTTAGGACCGATATCCTTCAGGGCGCAGATCTGCTCTTCTCCCATTGCAGACATGACACTCACCACGAGATCCTTTCCCTCCTCGAAACCACTTTTAATCTACATACAATAGAAACCGAAGTTCATTATTCACAAAGTAAAATTTAAAAGCCTCAAATGCAAGGAATTTAACTAACAAACACGAAAATATCTTTGTAAATGACTGAAAAATTCACTACTAGTAATAGAATCTGCCCACCTGGCCAAGCAGATTTTCATCAGTCGGAAGCTTCAAGTCATCTTTGGTGTTCCCGGTTTCAGTCAGAAGCGAAACCTACAAATCGTGAAAATCCAAATGGTCAATATTTTTTGTTAAGAAAATAGATTTTCAAGCAGCCTCTGCATTGAGGGTTGAAACTTGTTATAGAGAGTAAATCTATCCCTGGATAAAGGCATCACGAAAATTGAAAAATCTGGAGCCAATCTATATCAGTATAACCTGTGGCTCTAAAATAAATTCCAAACCTTTAAGACGTTCGATGCAGGAAACAAAGCAACGACTAGTTGGACAGAAAAATGAATATTTATGATATTCAAATTCCCCCTAAGATCAAATTTTAAGTTCATGAAACACACAACTGTTTTAGTGGGTCACGCATAAACTTTTAAGCAAAGCGTAAAAGCATAATGCAAAAAACTACAGATCCCATCTAGTTTAGCATTCAATAATGAAATAACTTACAAAACCATCTTCGGAGATGTCGATGAGCTGATAATCAGTACGATTGACATGGGGCACCTAAGAGAACACGTCAACACAAGATCACTCAAACTTGCATGTAAAGAGAAGAAAAAATAACAGAAGAATAAACAAAAAATTTATTACATCACAATTGTGGGAGGACGGAACAATATCTTCAAGCTTTTTGCCGTTGAATATGTCAATTGCAACAAAGTGACATTTTGCGTGTCCATGCTTGCCGGTTTTGGAGGTGGAGACTTCAACAACCTATCAAAATAATTGCATGAATGATAAAAACCTCAATCATCTCTTAACTCGGGGGAGATAATGATTATCACTTCTAGAGCCAAATGGTGCTAGTTTTAAAAATGTTTGACATAATGTTTCATCTGGACATAAGGTTAGTGTTCCTAGACTTTGGGAGTATATACTGCATTTTCTATACATATGCCAATCCTAGGAAAAAAGCAAGCCCACCTGCTACATTAGGATTTGAATACATCATAATGTGAATAAGATCGAATTGGATGAGATATTTGAGAAGAAGAATTACACTTCAGAGAGACGTATGATGAAAATGAAATATAAAGGAACAATATTAGTAGGATACACCTACACTACCCTCGTGACAACAAACACATTAATATGTGTTACATTGCAAAACACTAATATTGATGTCTATCAATACAAAGATACAAAAGTATTTCGTTTCTTGAAATGAAAATGTCTATAAATAACATATACCATAGATTCCAATAAAGGCACAAATATATGACGTGTAAATCTATAGAAAAACTGGTATGCATATTTTTAACACCAAGGACTATAATTATGTTGTGCAATAGAATTCCTATCCAGATTCCAAGAAAGAACAATATGTTTCCGGGAAGCAGGACAGATAGAGTCAACAATTCAGATAAACCAGAAGTCAGTTTGGGCAGGGATACAAATATTTTAGTCAATTGCTTTACTCGAAGAAAAGGAATTGATTAGCATACTCTCGCATTCTAATCTAAAGAAAGCCTAAGGCCCTGCAAGACCCAAAAAAATAGAGCCTAAACAAAAAATCAGGAAAAAAAAAAAAAAAGAATCACAGATTGAATACAAAACAGAACATATTGAGGAAGTTTTCCCTAGAAAACATGTTTACTTAACACCGGTTCAGCCTCATAAATATGTAACACATTTCCAATGCCTATAAAATTCATGGTTCTTAACACCACCTTCGACTAGTCTCGTATCAGCTAGACATAAATATGCATAGTGAACTCGAAGAGTTTTTCGAATCTTCGCATTTTTTTTATATTGCAAACTTGATATGATTAGAGAGAATATCCTACTTGACAACTGGATTGAATATAAAATGAGGAAACCAAAATTTTCCCTTAAAAAAAGTAAAGGAAAAGGCAAGCTCAGACGATAATCACCTTTAGATAAATACAATATTTAGCTCTGAGAATAGAAAGAAAGAAAGAAAGAAAGAAGATAACAACGAATAACAGCAATAATTAAACTGTTTCACAAATTATATACTATAACGCATATATGTTACTATGTATGGCATGGATTGAGAGCCCGTTCCTCATCAAGATCTGAACAATTTAACAGAAACCCAGTTGAAATTAGACGCCAAAATTCAAAATCAAAACATAAAAATCCAATCTTTCTACAAAATCTGTAAATTACTAATGAAAGAAACAAATCAAAACACAAATATGTAGACAAGAATGAGATCCACCTTGCAAGGCCTGCCCTTAATAACTATGTAACCATTCTTACGGATGGTACCAGCCTGTTGAGGGAAAGTCTTGGAGGCACCTGCATCAGCCTTCGACTCAAAATGGTGTTCCTCGTCCGACATCTCTCTTTGAAGAATTTCTGACTTTTTAACTTTTAGACGACAAATATTCCTAGTACTAGTTTTTATAGTGGTAATCCTCGTTTATGTTGGGGAATTACATATGTATTAGTCCTAAACAAACTCTATTACTACCGCTATTTTTTTTCTTTTTTATTGGCAATAGATTTACCTATATTGCTTTTTGCTCGAATACAAGTTAATTCTTCCAAAAATATTTGAACTTTGGATTGCATCACGACAACCTCACTTTAATTTTAAAATGTAGTTGAAACTTTTGTCAAAATATCTTCATCCATCACTCGGAAAAATTTCATTATTGACTTTGACGAAACTGTTTACATGATAGACATAATTCACAAATCTAAGCAATTGATAGATTAGTGCATTTTGATAAAATTCAGTGACATTTTAGTAATATTTTTAAACCACAGAAGAAATATTTAAAAACGAAAATAAAGTAAAGAAATAATAAATGCTTCTTCGTTGACAATAACCCCGCATTAAATCCAACAAATCCAATATTTTGTATCCAGACATGATTGCACGAGACAATATTTAATCCCATTTTTTGTATTAAAACTTTTTTTATCAGATCACTAATCTGATTTAAGCAATATTTAATCTTTGATATTTTGTGTTGAAATTTCTTATCGCCAAAGTGAGATATGTATGCTTCATTCATCTTATCATGTAATTGATGGTACACCAAACGGATAAAAATGTGTTTTAATTATTTCAACGCCAACTATGGAGCCCATGTTTGGTCATAATTAAAATATCAAGTTAAAGTCAACAATTAATTTTAATTACATATTTCGTACGATTCATGACTTTTCAATTACTTATTTTATCAAAATCTATTAAAAATCTAATTTTAATCTAAGGGCCTATTTGATGCACCATGTTTTCCATGGAATATGGAAAAAATTTTCCCTTTTCCACATTTTCCTTTGTTTGATGACACAAATTTTCCTAACAATTCATTTTCCACCATGATGGCTCCCGCGTCCCTTTTCCATTATTTCAAGGAAATTGTTTCCTTTTGGGTTGGTTGGTTTTTTATTTTTCAGCTTTCCATTTTTTTTTTTTTATATAATTTGAAAAAATTCTAGATATAATGATAAAAGCCAAACGAAAAGTATTCGGTGTGATAATTTTTTTTTGCAAGTGGAACAAATTCCTAGACCCAATAGTAGAAAAAATTATCACTTTAGTGAACAATTTCCATTAAAAAAAAAAAAGCTAAACTGACACCAAACTTTCAACATTTTTCAGGTGAAAAATTATATCAATCAAACATAATTAATTACAAAACCTAGTAAAATAAATTTTAAGCAATTCAATCCCTAGTAAAACATTTTTTTTCCACCAATTTTCTATCTTTACAATCAAACGGACCCTAAACCAAACAAGGATTGAATTTTGCAATGGCAAAATTGTACGAATAATTTCTACCAATAATTTATGTGTGATCACGCGTCTTCAATTAATAACAAAAAATGATAAATTTTGCAAAATTTCTTTGGAAGTTATTACAAGCACTTTAATTATAATTTGCCTTGAGGAAAGAATGTATAAAGTGCTTATAATTCCACCAAACGGACCTTCACAAGCTATGCGAGTTTCAGAAGAAAACATAATCTCCAACCCTCTTCAGGGCTGATGTCTATAGCTACTCGTTTTCTAACAGTGTCTCCGTGATATAGTCATTCCCAAAATTTTATGTAAATAAAGAAAGTGATAAGAGTGCTTATAAATTTTAAAAGTAAGCATTCCACGAGTGATGTGGAATTGAAAAGTAATCTTGACATAACTTCCGCTCACATTCTTGGAATTAATTGGCCTTCTGATTCTAGCGACACAAACCAATTGCGAACTTGCTGTTTCTAGTTGTTGACATCTATAGCTTGACTCTCCCTAGCTAGAGTAGTTGCGTTGTAGTGGCTGGGTCTTCGGTAACAAATGTTAATGAACAATCAAGTCATTTGTCAACTCAACGTTCTTCGTGTAGAGTTTTACTTGATTAACTTACCGAGTATGAGAACAAAATATATGTCACATCAATTTGATAGCCCCTATTTGACAATCATTATTTAGAGAAAATAGAATTTTGAGTAGTGATCTTTAAGAAAATATATGATAAAAAAGTAAAGAAATGCTTTGGGTTTATATGCAGAATAATTTATTATGGTTGAAAATGAGTATATAGCAAAAAGAGTTTAAAAATAACGATTGTCGAACATAGGCTTAAGATGTTAGACTTTGATAACACATTTTTAGGTTTTTATAATGTCTTGATGCTTAGTAGGACTGCAAAAAATAAAAATGAAAAATCGCAAATTGAATCGAACCCGTTGGTTCAGATCCACATGGATCTACAATTTTTTTCCCTCAAACCAAACTAAACTATTTTAAAACGATTTAATTTAGGTTTTGATTTTCACAAACCCCACAAAACTGAACCGAACTTTTTTTAAGAATTTTTTTATTAAAAAATCAATTTTATTAAGCTCTCGTTTGATCTACATTATTATCCCATTAAAATAAAAAATATGACCGTTATTCATCACATCAACATTTAAATTCAAATTTTCTATCTCTTATGTAGACCCCAATAATGACTATATTTTTCATTCTCATTCTACAATAATTTGAATCAAATAGGGCGTAAATATATTTTAAGACGGTCCCTTGTTATGAGAGAGGAAAAAAAGTATATCTCTGTGTGTTGTGTGTGTATTTTATGAAAGAACTTGGTGTGGTTTGAGTTTGTTTGTACTTGTAAGTTGCATCTCTTGGATGGTGTTTGAAATGAGGAAAGCCATGACCAATTTTTATTATCTACCATAAATGTGTGTCCATGTGAGTGAGCGAACGAGTGTTTGATCTATTAATTGACACTGTCGCGACTGGAATAATAGTTCCATTATAGTCGGATGAGTGAATGAGAACCCTCAAAATGCTAAAGCTCCATCTAAAAGGTCAATAAATACATTATTACAACCTTTTCAATTCATACAAGCGAAAGAAGCAACGGCCAACTTGCATTGCTATTTGTACATAATTCATCTTGGTGACATCACCAACTCCTTTTGTTAAAGTAATTAATTAAAATATTGAAAAACTCAAAATAAAACAAACCTGGCACACTAACTCAAAACAAGATAGCTCGTGAAAAAGAGGTGCGGTCGGCCATGGCTCGTCTGAAAATGAGCTCGCGCCGCCCATGGACCTGTTTGCCACCCCTAGCATATGTACATGCTAATAAAAATAAATAAGTTTAGTCCATGAGATTAGGCTTGGGATTCTACCTATCTGGCTCTTTTCACGAGTCCTCCTAGGTAGTAGTCTTATCAAGCCAAGTTTGATATATACTTAGCTAATATACATTGGGCCAATTTTTATTTTTTTATTTGAAATTCCACTATGGTATTAAAAGAGAAATGTGAACCTGAATTTTCTTCCCTATTCCCTTTAACTCTTATTAGAAATTTAGCCAGCAATTGCATTCCATGAGGAGTTTAGGCAGGAATGATAATATGGTGGCGATTGTGGTTCTATTGCACTTTCGAATTTCTCATATATCTATTTATCTTGCTTTCAGTTGGTCTGTCTAGCGCCTTTCTGTTGGAGTTCGTCCGGAATTAGATTCACTACAACATTTTTCTTTAAAAAAACAAGATAATATTAGTGTATTTCATTCATCTCTTTACGATTTTTTTTTTTTTTTCGAAACTCGTGAAAGTTTCTAAAGAATACATTTTTTTGAAAAAAGAAAAGGAAAGAAAAGAAGAGAAAAGGCTATCTATGATAGGCTCGCGAATTTCATATGATTATTTGGTTCACCAAAGGGACTAATGCCGTTACCACTCCCTACAAATATTTTATATGAAAATTCTTAGAAGTGCTGCAAGTCCTTATCATCCAACATGCAGAAATAATCAAACATATGAAAACAGTCATACAATAATATCATTATAATCATAATTAGTGAGACTATAATCCACTTTTGTTTATGATTGGAAACGTATCCCCATCCCATTTGAATTATTGCAAGAACATGGCATGATGGCAATGTTGACTAGGTTGGTGTCCTATGGAGATGAGGTAAGCACAATACTTCAGTGTCAATCTAGTTTGGCAAGAATCGTATATTAAATATTAATACATGAAACTATATTATGTAAGGATTTCGCTACAGGTCCCCTACGAAAAAGGGAGACCATGATTTTTTTATTGGGTGTGGGCCCCCCTATTTGTGAGGGGACTGTACATTGGGGTGTCAACCTCGATATACAAGTAGCAAAACTCATTATGTAATGATAGATTTAGTAGTTGTCCTTCTACATCTGGTATAGTATTGTCATGCACTCTTGTAGTAATTTTTTAAGATTTATACTTGACAGAATTTCATTGGCAGTTGGACAAAAACAATTTTAACACATTCAATCACATGCTGCCATCTCAACCTTGACACTGTACAAGGGGCTTAATCCGTTTTCACTTATTAGCAAATGCAGGCACTAGTGTCTATGAACTATTGCTCCATTAGATAGTTGGTCATCATGCTTCTATTATAGTTGCATGATCAGTTTTTAATATCATAAGTTCATTGTTAAATCATAATGTGACTCTAAATATGTTTAAATTTATAAAGCTAGATTTTGCTTTTCGACCTGAATAGATATGGGTTGGAGACTGACTGTGCAATAATAACGAAAGAATGGAGACCAACTTGCTCCTTTTAAAAGGTTGAAGACCTACTTGCTATTAGGGTAATATATTGGGAATAGTAGTAAAATTGTCACTTCAGTGTATTTTCAAGGTCCAAGAGATTCTTCATGCCTAGTGCTGTAATAAACCATGATTTCAAATCTTTAGTGTATGCTTTGGAATCCCAACAGAAGAGAAGATATATTCCTACTAGAAGAATTTGGCACAGGATAAGAATTTCTTACCAGAAAATTAGGGTGCGTTTGATTGCAATGGTAGAAAATGGGTGGAAAGAAAATGAATTTCAGGGAAAATGAATTGCATAGAAATCATTTTACTGGGAATTGTCAATTATGTGTGTTTGATTTGTATAATTTTCCAACTGAAAAATGTTGAAAATTTTCATCTTTTCATGTTTGATTGGCTTTAATTTTTCACATTTTTTTACTGCAATCTGCCAATCTCCTGCCATTGAGTTCCCACCTCCACTATTTCCACCTTCCTCCACCATTGCCGGAATCCTACGTTCCTCTACTACTGCCGCCCTGTCTTCCGGCGTGGATACCAGCAGCACCAGATTTCCCTCCACCATATTCGACCTAAAATCCGCCATTAACTCCACCAGATTTCCCTCCGCCGCCACCAACACCATCTTCTCATTCGAACTCCACTCATTCATCCGCCTCTTCCACCATCGCACAACAAAAGAATTTCACCAACCAAGAATATGAAGAATTAGAGGACGACCCGTACGACGTCGCTACCCTCCCAGACCCTTACTGCGACTTCACTCCCCTCCTCAACTTCCTCTCAGCCTCCCAGTATATCTCTAAATCCGAGCCCAACCCACTGGTTCTTCCACTGATTTGATACGATCCACCCCTTTTTTCTTGGCCAGCAACCTAATTCCTATGGCAGCACCGTTTTTCCGCCTTGCCAAGAAAACAAAAAATCACCTAATCTACGGGAAGATGAATTCCTCATTTCTGTGGAAAAAGGGATCACGTGAGGATTAAATGGAAAAACAATTGACTAGAAAATTTGGTCTGTCAAACAGCCCAAAAGTCGGAAAATTGTGTGATATTTTCCATTTTCCATAGAAAATTGGGTAAATCAAACAGGGTATATTTTCTATGAATTCATTGCAGTTATCTCAATACTATGTATGATTAGTCTGGTTTGCAAAATAGTTAAAAACGTACATTACTCTTGGGACCAGTGGTCCTCCATGGTTTGCTTACAGATTCTTTCAATACTGTCATTTTTACCCACAACTACCACCAAGTCCACCAGAATATACAAAGGCGAACGAATGCCTCCAGAAGAAGACACACACTACCACATAAAGGGTGTATCTATTGAAGTATTCAGAATCCTCGACAAGCATCTATCCGTTTAGCAGAATGGGAAATATGCATGAATAATCTCCATTCTCTGTGAACGCTATATGTGAAATACATAAATATAGATATACCAGAATTCTGTTTACTTCAGCACTTTTGTCGACGATATTATCATACAAGAATTTAGAGAGTATCAACAAACAAATAAAATGCATGAACAAAATGATCTTTAAGGATCAAGTTACGGTGTATCAATCAAGCATATACTAACCAACAATAGCATATACAAGAAAATGGCAGAGTTGCAAACAAAAATAAGGCTGCTTTACGATATCTTCAAGGCAGCAAGGGAGAGTTCATGAATGGAAAAGATCTAACATAAGTTTGTTAAAAAATGAACATTCTCCCCTATTCAATGTATTCATTTTTGTGTGATTGGTTCAAGATCCTTCAGAAGTCCAACTACCTGTTGCATACTTGGCCGCTTTGAAGGAATTTCAGCTGTGCATAGATACCCAATCTTCAAAGCCTCGACTATTTGTTCATCTGGTCCTGTTCCGCGTATTTTGGGATCAATAGCTCGTGATGCATGATTCCTCCTTACTAAACCTCTCACCCAACTTACTAAAGATGCTTCATTTTCATCTGGATAATCATCTTCAACAGGCCTTTTCCCAGTAATTAGTTCAAAAAGAATTACTCCAAATCCATAAACATCAGATTTTGGAGTCGGAGACTTTGGAGAGCTGATTTCTGGCTGTAGAAACTCTGGTGGCAAATACCCTGGCCAACCACTTGCTATCTCGTTGTCAGGCTCATTCCCAAAGATTCTAGCCAATCCAAAGTCTGACAATCGTGGTTCCAAGTTTGAGTCGAGATAAACACTGCTTGCTTTGACATCTTTGTGTATAATTGGAGGTGAGCAGCCATGATGAAGAAATGCCATTGCACGAGCTGTGCCAAGTGCAATTTTGTGCCTAAATCTCCAAGTTATTAGTGATCCTTTTGTCCCAACATTTTGTATCCCGTTATTTTCATCTTCTTCCCACGTATCAGTGGTCCAGTCTTCTGTAGCTTGAACACCAAGTGGCAAATCGTAAAGCAAGTTCTGCAGATTTCCATTTTCCATGAATTCATAAATCACAATCCTCTGCTCTCCAGCCAAGCAATACCCAGTTAGAGGAACAAGATTAGGATGTTTTATCCGACCAAGATACTCAAGCTCTCTAGCAGCTTCATGATCAGTCGTAGTCGAACCATGGACTAGAACTTTAACAGCCACATGAACTCCTCCCGGTAATAGTCCACCATAAACTGGACCAAACCTCCCTTCTGCCAACAATGAGCCACGATCAAAATGACAAGTTGCAGACAAGAGGTCTGCAAATGTAAAATTAAGCAATGGCTTTTCAAAGATTACAACTGGGACAGACGTTGCTTGCTTAACATCAGCTACCCAAGTGGTTGAATCAGTCTGGAACGAGAAGGGTCCTGAGATAGTTTGTTCTTCTCTAAATGAATTCTGTTTCACTGCCCAATTTCTGGTTTTTCTTCGACATCCAAAGGCTAAAAAGAGCAAACCCACAAGTAGACAAACCATTGAGAGGGTTAGAGCGAGGGCAAGCTTTAGTCCTCTATGCTTCTGAGATTTTATTTTAAAGAAGGCAGGGTTTGCAGCAATAGGGCAGCTGTTCACCGACCCGATGAAAGCGAATTGGAGGGTTTCTGAGGGAATTTGTGAACCACAAAAGCTTAGGTTGTTATAAGAGAAATTAAACCTCTCCATCTCTCGGAGTCCTTCTAAAAGCATCAATGGGATGTCTCCGCTTAGATTGTTGTGAGAAACATCAAGAACTTGAAGGTTCTTGGTACCAAAGGGAGGAATACGGTTGCTCAAATGGTTTTTTGAAAGATCGAGTGTTGTCAAACTACTCAAATATGAGATATTACTCGGAATTTCACCAATCAAATTAGTACTAGATAGATTTAGATACTCTAAATTGGAGAGCATATTAATTGACAAAAAATGTTGTCTGGTGAATCTGTTTTGTGCAAGATTAAGGTATTTGATATTATGAGCATAATTCAAGCCACTGAAAAACTCTCCACTAAGCTGATTCTCACATAAATTCAAATAAACCAACTTGGACCAATTGAAGGTGGAACTGAAATTTACCTCAGCAATGTGGCCTTGAAATTGGTTTCTGCTCAAATCAATCACCTTCAAAGGCCCTTCAAAGACACCAGCAACTGAACCATTGAACAGATTGCCGGAAATATTAAGATATCTGATCAATTTCATCCTCGAAAAATCTGTATCCCGGCCCTCGATCTCATTATTAGCCAGGTTCAAAAATTCCAGCTTCGCCAATGCAGCACCAAAATCTCGAGGAAGAGAGCCGTTGAGCCTGTTTACGGAAAGATCAATGGAAACCAAGGACTTGCATTGTGAGATCCCCAAAGGAATGGTTGACTCAAATCCATTCTGACTGAGATTAAGAACTTCCAAACTGACAAGAGAGCTTATTGCTTCAGGGATACTCCCAGAGAAATTGTTGAAAGAGAGGTCGAGAATTTGGAGGTGACCAAAATTGCCCATGTTACTTGGGAGATTTCCAGAAAATTGGTTAAAGGAAAGATTTAGATTCTTGAGTGTACCCAAACTCCAGAAATCAGAGGGGAAAGAAGTGATTTTGTTACTACTCAGATCCAAAGTTTCAAGCTTTGACAATTTCCCGATTGTGTCATCAGGAATTACACCAGATAAACCCAAACCAGTTACTTCCAATTTCACAACATTCTCTCTTTTGGCATCACAAAACACACCTCTCCATGAACAAAAAGGGCCAGAAAAGTCATAATCTTCGGAAGAATCTGAGTACATTTTTTGCAAGAAATCAAAGATAAATGACCCGTCCGTATTGGGTTGTTGAGAAACCAAAGGCTTAAAGAACAGTGTTAGAATAAAAAAAGAACCAAGAAAACCAAATCCCATTTTTGGATTACGCCTAACCTTGCAGAAAAAACAAAAGGAAACAGTACCAATACCAATACCCCAAAACCCTTTTTCTCTTTGACCTTCAATTCAACCAATTTAGTACCATTAATGCTTCTGCGGCTACTTCTGGCTTCTGCAAGGCGACAACGCCAATAAATCCCATAAATCCATAAACACAACCACCACCTCCACCGCAGAACAGTAACTTCACTTTCCAACAAGCTATTAAAGAAAGTTTTCTTTGCTTTCAGAATCCCAGGAAGTCAGGAACTGAAAAAAAGTGAGTATATAGCAGTAAACAGTTTACGCATATTAAACTTGCTACAGAAAAGCAAATGGACTTGTGGATGACAATAGAAATTTTGAATGTCTGCAGGTTCTAAAGAAGCCAAACTGAAAATGTTTTTTTGTTTCTGTTTTACGTTAATCACACAACGAGAAAACTCAAAACTTTCTGCAAACAAAACTTTTTAAAATTAGAAGTGGAGTTTACAGCAGGTATGGGGCGGAGTGAGGGATTAATGTTAATTATTTGTGTTTCTTACATTAAATAACATATACTGATAGACAGTTCATAAATGAAAAAGATATTGGCACTGTTTTGGAATTCAATGATATTGCATATCACTTTCACTGTTTGTTTTTTCTCACAATTGATTCTATGTTTTTTTTAAAAAAATCCTAAATTACTGAAATTATGGGTAATTAATTTCTATTAACCTTTAAAAACCCATAAATTCAATACAATTACTTTATGTAAAGGTAAAAATGGTAAAGAAGTAAAAGCTGACTTTCCTTCAGCCTTGCTTCAATTTAGCAAATGTAAAGTTTGCCTTTTGTTTTTCCTTCTCTTACCTTTCAAAAATACACAATTTAACATCAAACTTTTGTGGCTATTCACCCTTTTTAAAAATTATTGTCCACTCCGGTGGGATTTAAAGAACTAATAATTGGAAATATAATATATAAAATTGGAAAAGATAATCTCCTAAGATTTAAAATTTTGTGCTACGGATTCAGTGAGATGTTGTCTTCGATTCTGTCTCGAATTAACTACATGACCATTCGATGAATGTGTGTGGTGTGTGGGCAGAGAGTAAGAACATTTCGATTTTTAAAGGTACGAAATGATACAATTTCCTCTTTAGACCTTGTTTGATGCACATTATTGAGTGGAGAATACATTTTAAATAGTGATTTGATGGAAAATATATGGTTGAAAAATAAGAAAAAATTTAATTTGCATATAATATTATTTTATTGAAAAATGTGTGGTTGAAAATGAGTTTTAAAAAAATGAATTTTTGTAAGAATGTGGATCAAACGGAATGTTAATTAACAAGATGATAATGGTTATTTACTTAGAGAAATAAAGAAAATGGTAAGTAGTAATTATAACGCAATTTGGTGTCATTTAGGGCCTGTTTAGGCCAGATTTTAATCTGATTTTAATCTAAGTCAAAGTCAAACAATCAATATCAACTACATCTTTCATTGATCTCACATTTTTTCAACTACACATTTCAAAAACTTCTATTACAATCAACTTAAAATCTGATTAATTTACTCCAAACGCCCTCTTAATGTCTCAATAAATAGGGAGATGTAAAAATCGTTGTTGTCTTAGAAATGATACATTGAATTATTAATAAAGAAAATGGTTGAATGAAGAGGACATGATTATCTTCCTCTCCTATCATAATCAGTGGAATTTGTTGAAACCAAAGTTGATAAATCAAATCAGACTGTGAAGAGGACAAAGGCCAAATTTGTCAAGATGACTAACTTGTCGTGACTTAGAAGCATAAACACTTTACGACAACTGAATAACACAACGGGGAATTTATAAAAATATCTAATTTTATGATTGTCAATTAAAAAATGTCTAATTTTGATAATTCTTGTAAAAATAGTCAAATTTAATACTAAATTATTTATTATACCCTTAAAAAAATTAAAGCATTTTTTTTTTCAATCTGTCACGAATTTCAAAAAGAAGAAATAATTTGATAAGCTACATTAAAATGACGTTTGTTATCAATATTTGAATCATGTTTATCTTGATACTTCATTTGTCTGGAACGAGGTTTCATTCCGAATATGAGAGTTCTACTAAATTTTATAAAGCTCTTGACATATGAAATGTAGTTCTCGATATTTAATGCATATGTCAATGAAAAATATAGGGGTAATTGGCGCAAGACGTCCCTATCTTTGACGGGTTTTGTACAAAACGTCCAAACCTTTCGTTTTTTGACGTAGAACGCCCCTACCTCTCACATTTTTGGCTCAAAACATCATTTTCCTCAATTTTTGACTATTTTACCCTCCAATTTAAATTAAAAAAAAGAAACGAAAAGAAAAATAAAGAATAAATTACAATATGTTCCTAAACTTTTTAAAAAATGCAAATCAGTCCAAAAAAAGCCCCTTCACTTCACATTCATTCTTGGGGCTATTCAAATATTTGCACACCATTGAGCAGAGCTTTTGAAACGCATGCAAAGGTGAATCTGAGTCCTTGAGCTTCTTCACAATGTGGGCAATTATTTTTGTCAAGTAGGTCGAACAAGGATCCGAGTGCACTGCATAGAGAACAGCAAGGAGACTGAGGCTCTCCTTCTTCAAGGCGGGTTTCGAATCATTGCCAGCATTATAGAGGCAGTTGAGGAGCATCGAAACACCGTCATTTGATAGTGAATTTATAATTTTTTTTCAATGTCCTCCACAGCTAATTGGTGGGTGTCGCGATATGAAAGTTTAGATAGAGAGTTAATAGTTTTTTGCTTCAATTCAACCATGACTAAATGGGATGATAAAGAAGATGAGGATGAAGCAGAAGATGATCTTGAAGGGGTTGCTTGGTTAGGGGATTTTGTGGGTTTTGAGAATCTCTGTGAACTCATTTTGAAATTTTGATAAAAGAATTTACCAACAATGTTTCATGAATTAATTCAGTTTTGATGGTGTGTTGTTTGAAGTGAATTGGGGCCATATTCTATGTCGCATGTACCTGGGTAGACAGTTCGTAGTGGTCCGCGGCCATGATGGTGGTTGGAAGAGAGATTTCTGACAGATTGCAGAATTTCGATTTGCTGGTTTTGATGCATGATTTCGGGCATATAAGTGGATGAAATAAGGAGTTCTTGGGTGGAAATTGTAGAGGATGTTGAGGAGATTAAGTTGATAGTGGTAACAGGAGATTTTGGTGGTCGGAATGAGGTGGAAATTGGGTCCATAACCGGCGGCTATGAGCTCCTAGCGGTTTTTTTTGTTCTTTTTAATATTTTTATAAGTTTTGGACTGATTTGCATTTTTAAAAAAGTTTAGGAACAGATTGCAATTTATTCTTTATTTTTCTTTTCTTTTCTTTTCTTTTTTTGTTTTATTTAAATTGGAGGGTGAAATTGTCAAAAATTGGGGAAAATGACGTTTTGCGCCAAAAATGTGAAAGGTAGGGACGTTCTGCTTCAAAAAATGAAAGGTGAGGACGTTATGCACAAGACTTATCAAAGGCGGGGACGTTTTGCTCCAATTATCCAAAAATATAGTATTTATTGTGATTTGAGATGTGTACTTTCGAAATAAGTAGGACAGGTTATGTGTCAAAATTTTATTGGCCAACAAAATTTTTAATTGTATGCACATTTTTGTCTCTAGTGTGGAATTATAAATTGTTAACATGAGTATTTTGGTCAAAAATATTGTAAAATGGACATTGAATGAAGTAGATATTTCCTGTAATTTTCACTAACACAATTTTACAATCAGTAAAGAATTTTGCTATTTTTACACTAAAGTCCTGATGTACATGTAGCATCTCGTCTGTAAAGCACTTGATATCGAGTTATATAACTTGATAGCTTTACACACGAACTAACACAATACCAAAATACTCATTTTGATAAATACCAACAATTCAAGAATCATACTGAAACTAGAAAAACACGAATCGTATCATCTTGTATCTTGTATAAACTCTTTATCTATCCAATCAAAATGAGTGGCATTCTTTCGTCTTACTAAAATTTTATTTTATTTTTGTGCATGAACATTAATTGATGTGATTATTTTAGAGTAAAATCTACTATTTCACTGATCTCAATTGGCTAAACATATTAATTGGTGCATGTTTGTAGATTCTCAGACATTTCCAAGTAAAAAACCGGGACAATGAAATTGGCGTCAATAAGCAATTTATAGATCTATTTGCGAAAAATATGTTGTTATTTGAATTGCCTACCACGACTTATTTATTTCTTTTTTACATTTGATATAGTATAGCCCCTATTTGATTTGGATAAAAGTGGTATGTGTTGTTAAAAGGGTAATTAGCACATAATGTCCTTCTCTTTCACTATAATTGTGAAAAACGTTATTACCTTTTTTTTTAGCATTTTCATCCTCATTTCATTGCGTAAAAGGTTATTTTCATCAATTTTCTCAATTAAAACTTATAAAATAACGAATATATTTTTCTATTTAAATAAAATAAAAAGAAAAAGAAAAATTAATTGTAATTATAGTCCCAATTTTTTTAAAAAGTGCAAATGAGTCCCCAAATAAATTATTAAAAGGGTATTTAGCACATAATGTACATTTTATTATTATTGTAAAAAAAATGTCAATACCTTTCATTTTTTTTTAGCATTTTCACTTTTCATTACACATTTGATTGCACAAATAATCATTTCTATGATTCTATCCAATTTCTTAATAAAAGTTGTGAAATAACGAATATAGCATCCCATGCAAATAAAAAAGAACTAATTGTAATCGTAGCCTCAATTTTTTTTAAAAAAAAGTGCAAAAGAATCCCAAATTAATTATTAAAAATTTAAAAATTAATTTTTTTAAACAAAAGTGCAAACGAGTCCTAAATAAATTATGAAAAAAAATTGGAAATCAAAATGAAATAAAGAGTACAAACGAATCTCAAATAAATTATTAAAAATATTTTTTTTAAAAAAAGTGCAAACGAGTCCCAAAAAATAATTTTAAAAAATAATTTTTTTATTAAAGAAATACAAACGAGTTCCAAATAAATTATTAAAAATTAGAAATTAAAAAAATTAGAAAGAGCAAACGGCTCCCAAAGAAATTGTTAAAAAATTATAAATTTAAAAAAATAAATAGTATGATATATTCGTCATTTCACAACTTTTTATTGAGAAATGTGATTAAAAATAGATAGAAATAATTGTTTGCATAATGGATTAAAATTTTATTTTAATCCAAGTCGAAGTCAAACAATCAATATTAATCACAATTTTTCAACCACACGTTTCAAAACTTCTATCACAATCTATTAAAAATCTAATTTTAATCTCCACCAAATACCCTCCAAATGTGTAATTAAGGGTGAAACGCCAAAAATGAAAGGTATGAACTTTTTTCACAATAATAGTGAAAGGTATGAACATTATGTGCTAATTATCCTTTTAATAATTTATTTGGAATTCGTTTGTATTTTTTTAAAAAATAAAATAAAATTGGAACTATGGTTGCAACTAGTTTTTTCTTTTTCTTTTTATTTTATTTAAATAGAATGGTATATTCTTCATTTTAAAGCTTCTAATTAAGAAAATGGATAAAAATGACATTTTAAACAATGAAAGATGAAAATAAGTGTGAAAATGCTAAAAAATGAAAGGTAATGACGTTTTTCACAATAATTGTGAAATGTAAGGACGTTATGTGCTAATTACTCTTTGTTAAAATTGGTTAAAAATTGATGAAATGTGTGATTGAAAAATGTTGAAAAACGAGTGATTTTTTTGTACATATTTATCAATTACCATAATATAATAATATAAATATAACTCAACGACAATATAATATAAAGAAAAGAGGAGATTTAGAAAGTAAGCTTTAGGAAGTCACGTCAAGGACGTTGTCCTAAAGTCGTGCTGCCTTCTGTTGGTGCGGATACTTTCAACACTATACGACTCCAAGATAAAATCCATATAGCTCTGAGCTGGAAGCAACCACAGTGAGATAACGAGCGAGTCTCTCATCGAGTTGCCAAAAAAAATATAAAATGTACTAAGAATACCCTTTCAAGTTGTTTTTTACAAGTCGTGTAAAACAATCCCTTTTATAGGGAAAAATCAACTCCTATAGTAATGAAAAGTTAATCCACTTAAAAAAGTAAGTTACTCTAAGATTATTGGTTTTGATTTTATGTTAAAAACTGAAATAAGGACAAAGAAAACTAAAAATTAAAACTAATCTTTTATTAACAATAAATTAATAAAGTACGTGATTAAAATAAATTTAATTAAAAAATGGGGCCAAAGAAGGACATAATAATTAATTACTGCAATATGTATTCTAATCAAAACTAACACGGAAATGATCTGCCCAGTGGCATTCAACCAATATTTTTCAAAATTACTTTTGAACCCATTGAACTAATTTTAGTACTTCTTGTAGTTAGGAGATTTTTTAGAGGAAGTTGATCCAGGGTGTCTTCTTCTAAAAACACTTTGGGAATAAGAAACTCTTTTAGAAATTAATTTTCAAACAAAAATTAAGGTAATTTCATTTAAAAGCTCTTTTACATGAAGCAAAAATTATGTCAATGGGACCATTAATTTTTGTTTGAAATCTAATTTTTAATATTTCGACAGTACTTTTAGAGGAAACCATATTCGACCAACGTCCTCTAAAAGTTTTTCTAACTAGAATAAATATTTTCATAAAATTAACAAAACGGATCCAAAAGTAACTTTTAAGTCTCAAAAACATCTTTTAACTTTTCAAAAATCATGATAAACGAGCCCTAATTATATCTCTGATAAATGTATATAAACCGTTTATAATAACATATTAAAAAGGGTCAAATTAATTTTCATTAACATATTTTTTGAGATTCACAAATATCCATCCATTTATAAATAAAATCGTTTATAAACACTTTCCAAACAAGTTCTGAATCGACAAACAAATGTAATCTTATCATGTTATGAAGTAAAGTAGCAGATATTTAATGGGACCAGCCTCATCTCAAGCCCCATGAGACCATCCATCAAAACCACTCACTTCATGGACCATTTTTGAGAAAAAAGTGGTAACTTTGTGTTGCATTTCTCATTTGGCTATCTTTTTGCTTAAGTTTTCTGTATGTAATCATATGATTGTTTATTTTGTAATACTTTTTCTTTTTTTGTTTAATTTACATACTTGGCTTTTGTATGAATACCATTTTAGTGATTTAGTGTGATGTTTTCTCTTGATGTATTAATTATACTTTTGTTAATTATGAGGCGACGCTTGATGAGCGGAGGTGGAAAGAGTCAACTTTATTTCTTCTTATGAATAGCGTTTTTGCTTCTAAATAATTTTAAGTATTATCGGTTTGTCGCCTATAATTATTTAAAAATTGTAATTTTTTTTTATGTTAACCATTACTACATAAACTTGTGCTTGGCACCGGTGTGAAAAATAACAATACTCTATGAATTTGATCTAACATGCAATACTTATTTTATTAGTTAGGACTTGATAATTATTTTTTGAGAAATAAGGGGCTAAGTTGCAATTTTATTTTACTTTTTTAATTTTTTTTAACTTGAATGAATTTCTACTACTGATGAAAATTTTATTTATTCACTACTACATCGTGAACTCAATTTTCGACCAACTTTGGACGTTACTATACTAGTTTTGCCCTT